CCGCCACTGCATCCCTATGCACGTTGGCCTTTCCCTTGGCCTTCCCAAAAGTAACCTCAGGAGGGACAAAACCTCACTCTCCCTCACCGGCCATCGCTCGCAAAACGACTAAGAAAAAGGGAAGAGGGACTCTTGGGTGAGACTGGAAAGCAAGACTGATTATACCCTTCCCTTCATGCCCCTCACCCGAGGTCACTAGTTGTCCATTCAACCCGATCAGGGAATAAGCCAAAGGACAACCAAGATCATCCTTCCGAGGGTTAGGTTCAAGGGTTGATTCGAAGACGCATCTCCAGAAGCTAACAAATAAAGAAAGCTTTTGGCCTCCTTGCCTCTGTATGAGCCTTTTAGCTAATATGCTCAGAAAGTAATGGTTCCTTGCTTGTGGAGTTACTTCTTGGATTGAGGGAGTACGGAACCAAGCTCGATGTTCTCTCAGATCGGAAGGTTAGAAACTAAACCTTTAAGAGCTTTAAACTTCTATTCTACTAATTGTTCCGTGTTTTCTTTTGACTTTATAGCTCAATGGTGGAGACTTTATGGTTCATCAACCCCCAATTTACAACAACTAGCCATAAAGATATTGAGCTTGACTTGTAGTTCATCTAGTTGTGAACATAATTGGAGCGTCTTTGAGCAAATAATTAATTTGCTTTTGAAGAGTCTTATTAGTTCCAAATATTTTAAAATGTTTGCTTAATTATTTAACTTAAATGTTGCAGATTTATACTAAGAGGAGGAATAGGCTTGATCATAAAAAATTACATGACTTGGTCTATGTTAAGTATAATCAAGCACTCATGCGAAGATACAACCTTAAGGATGAAGTTGATTCCATTAGCCTTAATGATATTGATGAATGTAATGAATGGCTAGTTGGAGAGATGGATGGGGATGATGATGATGATGATGATGAAGTTGAAGCTCTAGATGAGAGTTTTTGGTGGAAATGATCCACTTACTTGGAATCAAGTTTATGATGTTTCAGGGGTTGGAGAACCTCTAATGTATACTAGGTGTAACAAAAGGAAGCAACCTCCAAGTGGGGAAGGAGCATCATCTCAAAAAGTTTCTAAAAAAGGCAAAGGAGTGTCTTCTTCAACTAGGAAAGGAAAAGGAAAAGTGGCTGAAGTTGTTAAAGAAGATTCAAAAGATATTAGTGAGGAGTTAGAGGAAGAATTGCCAAATATTAACTTTGACAATTCAAATGGTGAAGAAGTTGAAGGCTTTGCCCCTTTGGCATTCAATGAAAAGAATGTGTTAGGCCTCTTATAAGTAAATATTATAAGAGGAGTGCCAAGACTTAGGTTTTATAATAGGACTGAATTGTTTTAGCAGTTATTAATTATTTTAGCAGTTGTTGTTGTAATTGTTTTAGCAGTTATTGTTGTTTTAATTAGGACTAGATGCTATTAGTGGGGGGCAAGCGTAACTGCCTCTAGGCAGTTATTATTAGAATAAAAATAGCAGAAGAAGGGGGACAGAGGGCAGGCAGTTTTTGAGTGGTTTTGGAAGGGAGAGACCAACCTCTCGAACATCTTGTGAGGGAACCTTTGTACTCAAATCAGTTTACTAAATTTCCTATATAATTTGTATTCTGTACCAGTTAAATTAAATAAAATTCAGTCCTTATTCTCATACCAGTTGGTGTCTATCAGAATGATTACATTGAGGAAAAGGAGGAGAATGATGACGAGGAGGAGGATGATTAGATTAGCAAAATGTTTCTTGTACTCTTGTTTTTCTGTGTTTTTTGTTGTGTTTTAATCAATTATGTTATGAGACTTAATGAATTATGGTATTGTTATTATGATATTTAAGTATTTAAGTTGATATTATGTTGCTTTTAATTTAGTTTTGTTGCTTATTATTTATTGTTTTGCTGTCTTCTTTGTGTGTGTTTGTATATATATATATATATATATCCGTCATGGCATCCACCATAGAGTTATAAAGGATTTTCGACCTCATCGCCATAGACCGTTATCCGCTATTGATAACCTTGAATGCTATCAATTTGAACATGCTTGGTTTAGTCATGTTGAACAAGGTTTCGAGAGATACTGATTGCAGCCTTGTAATCACAATACAACTTCATTGGAAGGGTTAAAGGAAGCTACAACAGTTCTAGAATCCTTTTAAGCCAAAGAATCTCACAAATACCTTGGTAGACAGCCTCAAAATGTTCTTGTAGAAGAATTGGGACTCAATGTTAGTTTAGAATTTAGAACAAAATAGAAATTTAAATTGACCAATTGGTAGAAGAATTAGGATTAAAAAAATTGTTGCTGCAAATGCAGCAACGAACTCATTAAGAACTGACTCAAAGGAGTAGGAAAAACTACAAGAAGAAAGAGGATTAAAACTGAAAAAAAAAATAATAAAAAAAGGAGGATTAAAACTGGAAAAAAAAAGGAGGATTAAAACTAAAAAAAAAGGAGGATTAAAATTGAAAAAAAAAAACTGGTCAAGTTTTAAGTTTGGCTATGGTCGCCAGAGTTCCTCGTTGGAGTGTTGGGCCACCACGATTCAGGTCGTCGACTAGAAAAGGGACCAAGGAGTGGTGGGCAACGGTGAACAAAGGTTATTAGGGGCGGTTTTGAGTTCCATAACTCTTGTTCAGGCATCGTGGTTGCTTGTCGGAGTTTTGGACCATTGCGGTTCAGGTTAGCTGGCCGGAAAGGTGACTGGCGAGTGGTGGGCGACAATGGAGGAACGTCACCATAGACAGATTGAAGGTCACAGAAGTGGATTTGGGTGGGTGGCTGTTGTGGCTCTGTTCTCACTCTTGAACCCCAAAACCATTAGGGCACTCAAATTGGGCCTGGGTCGAAGCCCAAAACTGGCCCTAGAAACCCTAGATCCGTTACGTCCACCATCCCCTTCATAATGTAACGGGTCAAAACGGCCATGGCGTCCGCCACGGCGGAAATGGCAGACGGTGCCACAAAATGCCATATCCTGGATGGCGAATCGCGACGAGACCCAAAACTGCTCCGTCATTTCGTTATAACACCGTTATAATGGTTTTTTGACAACAATGATAACATTTAATAAAAGGTGGACACCAACCTAATTATTATGCCTTTTTTTCCTACTTCACAAGATGTTGCTGATATTCTTACAAAAGGGTTGTGTAGGCCTAACTTTGAGTTTCTCATAAGCAAGTTGGGCATGTTAGACATCTATGCACCAACTTGAGGGGAGTGTTGACAATTGTAAGTTTATTTTTTGAATTTTAGAAGATTGAATACTTAAGATGTCGATAAGATTTTTCTGATTTGATCTAATCTGGTTGTTATTTTGGGTCAGAATCAAATGTCTCTTATTTGATCTGATCCCCTTTTCTATTTACTTTTCATTCTATATTTATTATGTAATTAGGAAGCCCTGCATATATATGTATCTCCAATATTTCTGAAATAATAATAAGAAAGATTGATTCTTCCTTTTCCATAGTTTTTTGTTTTGGCTCTAGGAGCCCCAAAAATCGTAGTTCCATTTTTGTGGCCACTCGCTAATTCTTGAAATTTGGTGCGTATGGTAATGAAATATGGGATCCAAATGCTTGCTATTCTTGGTTGTTTTTTCATTCTTTAGCAATTCACATGCTCAGACCAGAATAAGTAGTTCCTGCAACACTCCCCTGCCCCTCTTATTGAGGGGATAAAGAGTTGTGGGTTGATCATTACTGCTTCATTGTTATCCTATACTTTTGTGCATAAAATTTATATTATTATTCATGTTCTAATTTATGTTTCCTCTGGTGGGTAATCTCTGGCACATTGCAGCCTCCGGAATATATGCCAGAAAATTTAACAATGTATTCTGCATGGGTGGGAGGTGCCATACTTGCCAAAGTAGTTTTTCCTCAAAATCAGCATGTAACTAAGGCAGACTATGATGAAACTGGGCCTTCTATTGTACACCGGAAATGCTTTTGATGGAATTTATCTGCACAATCTGCAGCGAGTTTTTTACACTTGTAGCAGTATGTGGTAGGCCTTCATTTGACTTTAGATACTAAATGTTCGACTTGCTAATGTCCTGGTGCTTGCGTGATTTTAAAAACCATAGTGGATTTCCATGAACTAAATGCAATCATATTTCCCAGCACAAGTGTTTAGACATAACCGGTAGTTTGTACAATCTTGTTCTGACAAAATCATATAATGTATGTTGCAGAAATATCAGCTTGCTTATTTTTGTAATGAGCAAGCCTACAAAAGATCGAGTTTGGTCCTCGGTGACTTCTACTTGCACAGATTTTCTGCACCTCTTTTATGACTAATTATTACTTATACTTGATTTTCTTGTAATTTGTTCTTTGCTTATAACATTTTTGAATCAGTTATGGAAACATTAATAACATATTTTGAAGTCTAATGCAATGACATAACAAAATTACGAACATGCAAGTATGAAAGAATTGTGTTCAATAATTGCATCTCAACTTTCCCTTTGAGGACAGCCAATAAAATCAGAACAATATAGAGTCACAATTAGTTTAGTGTACCTATGATTTTAATGCAATTAGTATTGTGAAACTAAAACGGCATCCAGATTCTATTTCTTTGGCACGAAATCTATACCCTTGAACATGCATGTAGGCAGATTCCATTTAGACCACGAATATTTTATCAATAGGCTATATGGCTATGTCGGGTGTATATGAAATGTTGATCCTACTATCTTCAATGCCAACTCATGTTCTTTTCTAGGTTCTTGCCTTCTAGACATCATAGGAATATATATATATATATGATTTTTTTATTTATAATTATCCATCAATTTGAATAAATAAAATAGAATATCAAATAATTTTTAACTTTTTAAAAAATTTGTAAACTTAATCTATATATTAAGAATTTTTAAATTTAATTTAACAAATAGTTGAATTGTTGAAATTTGATGTGAAACATGGGTTATTGAGTGTAGTAAATTTATCAAGATTTACTTTTGAAGTAAGTGAACTCTTGTCTCCCCCCCCTCCCTTCTCTCTCTCTCTATATATATATATATAAACAAGTAACTAGAACAATTTTGATCTACTTATTGGATATAATTTTATAAAATGAATTTTATAATTTAAAATTAACTTATGCATCAATTAATTTATAGAAGGCTTTTATTAATGTTTTCAAAATGTAATATTATGTATAAGTTAATTTTAATTGGGAAAAGTTCTTACATGTTTTCTTCATATTTTCTTCTCTTGCAAATATTTATATAGGAAAATTTGAAGAGAAATGATCAAGATTAGCTGTTCTTACCTTTTAAGATCTCATTAGATTTGCCCTATACATGTGTGTGGGATCAAATAACATAATATTGGCTTATATTGATTTGTTGTAGACCTTATATTGATTTGTTGTAGACAACTCCACTTTTCAAGGGGTCAGTATAACACTCGATGAAGTTGTGAATCACTTCTACACAATCAAGTCCTATAGGGCTTGAGCATTTTATATTTAGACTAGCATTATCAAGCTATGTATGTTACACCTGTTATAATATATTCAACGTGTACCAGGGTAGTAGGCATGCAGGCTCTGATAGAGCACTTCCTTCAAGTTGCTATAGTTTCATTATTCTATTACTTGAACTTGTCCTACGCAAGTTTTAATGGCCCTCTTTAACTTTTGTTCATAAAGTTCCAGTGATCACTCTGCATAAATTAATTATCCATGCTATGCTTTGAATTTAATTTATATATCATCTATCAGTTAGAACCGGTATGAATAGAATCTGTTCCGAGTTTTAGTTTTCATTCTTACCTTAACTCATAATGTCAATGAGATGAGTTAAGTGAGTCATTCCAAAAAAAAAAAAAAATTGCATGGCATGGATAATTCCAGCTATGATGCTTCCAAATGCTTGGACACCAGTGTTTCATTGTGTTGATAGTTTTACTAGTAATATGTTAACTAGATCGCACAAGATGGAATGAGATTGAACAAAGATATTTTCCGTTTCATCTTTGTCACGACTAAAACATTAATTTTAGTCTTTCAAATTTACGAGATAATTTAATCCTTAATAATATTGAATAAATTTAGTCCGAATTTAGTAACCATCACTCAATTTGATCTGAAACTGCCATCGTTACTGTGTTCTCTAACTAAATCTAATCGGTCATTTCAATAACTAGTATTTTAGTATGAAATGTATAAAATAAATATATTATATATAATTAAAATTTATAATTAATTATATATAAATAAATACTATACTTTAATGTATAAATCATATTTAAAATTTGTATAAATAGATATTTTTAAACAAATTATATATTTTGTTGACAACATATAAATTATATTTTATATTTATGATAAAGAATTTATATTGTGATAGAATATAATTTTTATTTATTGATAATTTATTTTAAAAATATTAAACTTAATTCATAAATAATTATGATAAATAAAAATTAGACTATACAAGAAGTTAATTTTTTAAAAAAGTAAAACTATTAAAAGGATTCTCGTATAAAATAAAGATTCGGGTTTAACATATAAGAGTTGATTATCGATCATGTTAAAGATTGATAATTGCTAAAATTATATTTTGAAGTTTAATTTTAGGGAACAAACGATTAGCAATTGTAAAATAAAAATATTAAAATTTAATTCATAAATAATTATGATAAATAAAAATTAAATTATATAATAAGTTAATTTTTTTTAAAAAAGTAAAACTATTAAAAAAAATTCTTGTATAAAATAAAGATTCGAGTTTAAATTATAAGAGTTGATTATCGATCATGCTAAGGATTGATAACTACTTAAATTGTATTTTGAAGTTTAATTTTAGGGAACAAACCATTTGGACTTTTTAAGTTAAAATTATTGGTAATGTCATTGATGAGGGCTTAGGTAGGTATATCAAGAATGTGTTTGTAAAAATATTTGAACAATTTATAATCTCTTAACTTATAATCTATTTTAATTAAATTTTAAAAATAAAGTATAAGATTTTAAAACAAGCTTTTATACTAAGCAAGTTTAATTTAGATAAATAAGTTTTTTTTTAATTTTTTATCCTCATTAATTTATTTAAAATCCAATTTTACTTTTTTAATATATAAACCCTTTTTTTATCATGTCATTCTCTCATTTTCATAAATTAAATGTCATTTTATATTAATTAAATAATTTTTTTTATTTAATCCTATCAAACACTTTAAATTTAATCGGTTAACTTTTATAGTCTTTAACTTTTTTAATCTCTAATTTATAACTTATAAATTTTCAATTAACTCATAAGTTTTAAGCTAGCTTATAAATTAGTTTTATCACATAGATCCTAAATTGTTGTAAGCTATATTTAAAATAATAAGAAAGTGATTATTATTTTTAAGGATTGAGAGGCAATTTGCAATTTATTAAATACAATTCTATTAGAATAAAAAAATTTATGATTAAGTGAGTTAAAAAAAATAAGAATTAGAATTAAGAGAAACTAAAAAAGAATTATTTTTAGGATTTTTTATTTTAAAATGCAACAATGCATAAAGAACAGTTTAATTCAAATAGGAAAGATGTAGGAATTAAGGTTTATGCTGTTTCGGTTAGAATTTTTCGTTAATTTTTTTTAATTCAATTTAATTTGTTGCTTTGTCTATTGAATTTTATAATTTATTTATTTCTTATATTTTATATAATTAAACCTTTATTCCTAATTCACAACACTGTCACTTGGTTTGGAACTTATAAACAATTAATTTAAATTTGTGTTTTAAGTTTTTGGAAAGTATTGAAGAGGAATTATAAAAGTCAGTATTTTAGCTTCTACATTTCACAAGTTTAATGTGTATTATATATAACTAAATTTTATAATAAATCAGATATATAAATAAATATAATATTTGAATATATAAATTATATTTAAAATTTGTATAAATATATATTTTAAACATAAATTATATATTATATTTAAGATAAATAACTTATATTGTAACATAAAATTAATATTAATTTTTAAAATATTAAAATTTAATTTATAAATAAATATGATAATAAAAAATTATTAAATTAAAAGTTAAAAAAATCCCTAAAAATATTTTTTCACAAAATAGTTATTTGTATTTAGTATATAGGAGTTGATATCTTAAGATTGATCCATAACATATTTTTATGAACTCTGTAAGATAACTTATAGGAATAACTTATTATAAATTTATGACAAGATCTACTTTCAAATTCTATTAGGACAAAATAATGAAGGATGTGTATTTTTTGTTTCTTTTTCTAAGTCAATGTTTGGATTGGTAGTAGATAATATGAAATCAAATGGATCATTGTACAATAGAATGTTTAACATTTGTGTTTTAATGTTTTTTATTGCATAATGATGGGATATATGTTAGTTTATGATGTTATGTTATCTTGTTAGTTGCTTTATAGGGTTTTGAGATCCTTTTTAGAGATGTTTAGGCAAGATCAAAGTCAATCAAGAATGAGAGAAGGTATATAAAGTTTTCAGATAATTTGAACTTCATAAGTTCATTTTTTTGAATTCTAAAGAAACGTTTTAGAGAGATAAACACTAGAGCCAAGGAAGACTTATTTTTCTTCTGACTTTACCAAGAGCATCTAAATCCTTTCTTAGAATAGAGATCGAGTAGTCAAGGTAGAAATTCAAGCTTAGGAGTTGAGCATCTTAGAGAGAAATTGTCATATGCAGGGTTTCAGTGTTTTTCCATCTTTTTCCTTACTTCTTGCTTAGTGAAGTCATTGAGGCAAGTGAATTTTTTTGTTTGATTCTTTAAGTTATTTTTAAGTTGTGGTTGTTGATGTTATCTAGCCTATTGGTGGCTCCATTCTAGAGAATCGATGTTGTATTTCTAAGTTGAAAGTTGGGGTTTTCAAGAGTAAGTGTTAGATCAAAAGACGATCTTGGATTTCTTAGGGTATAAGTTTTAATGCTAACATACTTAGACATTTTCATCAATGAAATATTTTTCAAATCATATTATAATACAAAGTAGAATAGACGTTTGGTTATAATGACGTGTAGTCTTTCAGACAGACCATTTCTTCTATGTAAAAAGAATGCATTTAACATATACCATTTATGATGCCTAATAATTAAATCATCATTATCTATGATATTCCTTAACAGATTGAAAGGAATAAAAGCTTCTTTGGTACTTGTACTTATGGAGACATGCTTTTCCTCAAAGAAAGGACAAGTAAATCCCTTGAAATATGCGAAGTCTTAGAAAAATTAATTTCTAATTGACACACGTAACAATTTCTTTTGTTTGGTACCTTAAAGGTCATATGTAGTCTTTTCGATCAAATA